GGCACCTACTGGCAAAGAAAGATTTAATTGATTCTTCACAACCTCGTCCTTTGCCAGTAATGGCATGATGCTATCCACAGGAATCCACTACAGTGTTTGAGGGAGGGAGGTTCAAGTTTTCCCAGGTCTGCGCGCGCAACAAGTGGGCGGGCAATATGCTAATGTTGACGTCAACATGGCTTGGGATTTGTTTTAAAAGTGACTCGTTTCAGTGTTACACACTGCATTAAAGGTAATTTTCATAAATCCATAAAAGGGGCACTTTAAGTTGTAACAATATCTCACAGTATTACTGCATTTACTGCATCTGTAATCAAACACAGACTTGCTGTGTTTTTTTAGATGTTAGCACTAGTGAGCAAAAATCAGCACAGAATTCAACATTGTATGTGTAAATATATATATATATATAAAGTTTACATTAAATGTACTGGAATGAATCAAACTTTCCTTTCCTATTAATCTTCTATATATATATATATATACAGTATATATTTATATATACACACACATGCAACAATGTATCTCTTTTGAAATTCCTCTCAACAATAATCCGCTTCAAGAAAAACTACTGAATGTCTACCAAAAGATTTGATGTCATTAAATTTGTAAACTTCATGGCATACTGTAAATTATATTCCCTGTAATACCAATAAAAGTTATCACAAATGAACGAAAGTTATCACAAATGGATGAATTTTGACTTTGCATAAGTTTTTAATAGTAAACGGTAGCAAATCTGTCACACTGTACTCTGTTCACTCACTATGTTTCATTCTTTCTTCCCAAACACCTCTTTTTCTTCAGATTGTGGACCATGCCTACAAACAGGGCATTGCCTCCTGGTACCCTGAACCCAAAGATAAAGAGGCCTTTGTTTTATCCCAAGTCTATAGCTCTGACTACGACTCCTTCACTCTGGATCCATACAGCTGGCCCAAGGATGCCATGAAAGTTCAGAACGTGTAGATTATTCATCCACAGCCCACTAAAAAGGATATGCTCATATCAGTCACATGCCTTATTTCTCAGTTCATAATCATCTGACAATATACACTCCAGCTCCAGGCCACCCAATCCTTAAACAGTAGCTGCTCCCACTGATTTGACACAAGATGAGCTGTATCCGCTGAGGGCTAACAGCGATAAAAATGTGCAGTGTTCATTCAAGCTCAAATTGTCTTCAGAACAGTGGTTCAGTTCAAAAGGAAAAATGCAGCTACGTTTAAAGCAGTAACAAGCACTTTCCCAATTAACCAGGCTACTGAATTAGTGATCTTCTCCGGTTTATTAGTTCTAAGTTAGCATTCTGTAAGTAATTTCTTTTATCTCTAACTAGTTATCCACTCCAAATATTTAGTGTTCCTGGAAATGCAAATATCAATGTAGGGAGAAACTATTTTTGTACAGCGAAATAACTTGGACTGCCTGGGTCAAATGTTTGTATGAAAAGGGATTTTCATTAGGTAGGTAGGTAAAGTAGGTGACTGCAGTGTGAATTGACTCCTTTTGCAAGTTCAATTTGTTTTTTGTTTTTTACAAGTTGTCTATGCCAAAGTTTATCTAATTTTAAATGAATTATTGTCATGTATCAATGAATACTGGAAATTGTTAGCTTGAGTATATCAGTTTATTTAAGTGTCCACCTGAAAAGCAAGCTATATATGTGTTCATTGCAGCATGTGGAATTGTTTTTAACATTTCTCCTCATTTAGAAATATGCTTTTGCTTATTAGTAACGCACAACTATGGAATTATATTTTCAGATATTCAAGGAGATTTTGAAGGGACAGTGACTTTTAAATAAACACTTAAAAAAATAAATGGGTTTTACGTTTATTTAATGAGAGTGAGCTGCTATCATGGCCTATAATTTTTCTTTTCTTTTTATGTATATACATATACATTATCAGTTACTCTAATACTCAATTAATTTGTATCATTTTCATTGTTATCATTATCAATATTTACAAAAACAAAAAAAAACATTCACATTTGTATCACAATAAACTAATCTTTGATATCATCATTTCTCATCTGACTGCACTACTGCATCAGTAAATATCAAGTTCCACCAAAAATATTTAAAATAATTGATTTGGTGATATGCTGCAAGGCTTAAATCAGTGAGGTGAGTGATCACCTATTTTTGTTTCTCTTGTATGATATAATCTACTAATTTGAGAATATTTATTCTATTATCTATAATTGAATATAGAGTTTTGAATCTCATAATCTGTGGGCTTTTGTCTCATTAGTCAATTAAGAGGGATAACTGAGTAGCAGTCGTTTTTTGAGGGCGCTTTGTTGCACAGGAATCTGCGATGTATCATTGAAACCCATTGAAATACAGTCAGTCACAACAAACCTATAGATTCTTTTCAGGTGCTCAGGCAAGACTCGGTCAATAACAGAATCAACCTTGCATGACAAATTTCTAAATCTGAAATCCAGTGAAACAGACATTTAAATTTACTGAGTATTTACATTTAATGAGTATTGTATCTAGTGAATGAAGTTTTCTTGGGTTTGTCACAACACAGTACAGTAGTTTAAAGGGAATCCTACTGAATCCTTGACTGCTCCGGTGGCTGAAATAGGTTTAAAAGATGAGACTAAAGTGAGACAAGAGATGATCAAAAATGGATTTCAAGAGAGATGGGGTCAGCATAGACAGTTGCTAAAGGAACTTAAAGATCAAGATTTTTAGAAAACGTTTTTTTCATATTTTTATGTGGGTTGAGCAGTTAAAAGGGATTTTGACTGATAATATTGAGTGAGACACGAGTACAGGTGCGTCTATTCTCCCAATTGTGTAATCGAACAATACCATTTCTGAATTTTGGGACTGTCAATAGGTGATGGCACAATCAAACAAATTGCCTATTAGAAATCTGTATGCTATTTGTGAACTAGTCTGCCCACGAACTATGTAGGACAGATAGTTACAGGTGCATCTCAATAAATTAGAATGTC